CTTTTCAGCACATTTGAGTTCCTTGTAGATCCAAGATGTTAGACCTTTGTCAGACATGGAGTTGGCAAATACTTTTTCCCAGTCTGTGGGCCTGCATAATATTTAAATGTGTAGACATAAGTTAATTTGTTTAGTCAACTACTTTGAGACACTTGAGTGATTTACCACTTTTCACCCTTCAAAAGTTTGAAGATGCACAGCTTTGCACAAGCCAATTATTTGATTATTTCCTAAGGATAAATTCCTACAAGTGAATTACCAGGTCAAAAACTATGCACATCTTGAAGGCTTCTGAAGCATGTGTCCCAATAAACTTTGCACCAAGTATACTTCCACCAGCACAGTTTGCCAGTGCTCCCCCCCCCATGCCCTCATCAACATCGGGTTGGAGAGAGGTGGATTCTTCTCCTATGTGGATTCCAACAGCACTGTTGATGGTTCCATAAAGGCTCCACCTTAACCAACTTTATTCAAGAAATTTGATACAAGCACTAAAACTTATTCTTTCTCCTATATTTTCTTATTACTTCAAAGCAGCACTATCTGATCCACTTACATACACACCAGAACTGGCCGAGAAAGAGGAAGTTTTCTTATCAAATGCCCCCAGCACTCCAAAATAAAATTGGCCGTCTTTGTACGTCCCCAGAGTAGATCCCAGCCCTTATTGGCTTAAACGGTCTCTCACTTCTATCCTCTCCTTACCATTCCCACACCACCGGTTGAAATTTCACACCTTTATCATCTCATGCCTGGACCGTTGTGGTAGTGTCCTAACTGGTTTTCCAATCTCCAGTCATCACTCCTGTCCCCACCCCAGCTCAGATCCATCCTGCACACAAATAGACCACATTGTTTTCCTTTCATTCTGTTATTCCGGGTTACAAAAGGCCTTGGTGCTCCCAGGGGTGGATGGGGTAATATTCAGATAGCCCAGTTTAGCAATCAGGGGTGCTCCACAGAGGAGACTCACCCCTACTGCCTGGCTCTATCTCCCATCACTCCCCTCCTCGCACTTTCCACTCCAGGCAGGCTAGACTCCTCTGGAGCAGAATTCTCACCTCCATGCCTTTCTTCCCACCACTGCTCCCTCCTTGAGTGCCCTTCTGGCCCTTTTGTATCTTATCCTTCAAGCCCAGTTTATTTAAGTGTCCCCTCCCCTGTGAAACGTTCCCTCAGTATTTTTGCCCCCAACAATTTCCGATGCCTCCAAGCACTGACGAACTTCTGGTTTTGTTACCATCTCTTTGTTTTTGTTTCCCTATATCTTGTCTTTCCAAACAGATCATAAACTCAAGGACAAGGACAATGACTTTTTTCTGCTGCTTAGAAGACACAACTTTATTGATGACATAAAAATAAAGTCTTAAATGTATAAACATAAGTCCACACAAAGGACCAAAGATTACCTTACTTATGAAGAATCAGTTCAGTTTCTGCTCATGAAGCATACCAGAAATATCTCAATCCAGACAAGATAAAAATCAACACATGTTTTTCCAGTACAAGTTTGAATTCATTTGGTGTTCATAAAATGGTACAGCTATAGACCATCATAGATAACATCAGTTTCAAAGTTATAATGCAATTTACAATGTGCATTACTCCCAGGGTGCAAAACCAAAATATTACTCAAATTTGTTTGGGAACATACAGTCAATCAGAGTTTACTTATTAATAGCTCAACTCTTTCTTTCACCTCAGGGTCATTGCATTCTGCTGCTAAGGCTCGAAGTTTCTTGGCACATGCTTTAGGTCGTTGGAATAGGAAATAAAGGGAATTTTTACTGAACTTGTCCTGGGTAAATGTTTTTGCTCTTCTTTTAAAATGGTAATTTATATTTTCAAATAGTGAGATAGCATTAAGAATATTCTCTTTTGTCTCTTTCTTGTTAAAAATGTTAATCAGTGATGTTGGTGCATTGGCAATGAGCAAGTCTTTTGTCATAGATGGATTTTTAGAGAAATTTAAAAGCATTCCCAAAACATGATCTTTAGTTTCGCCACTTCCCACAGCTAACAAACGAAGAAATTCTGAAATATAATTTGTAACCATATGCTGATATTCACTGGTAATAGTCAGATGCTTTATCAATCTTAGTCCAGCCAGCTGTACATTTGAATTCAAGGGATAGGTGACGGTGTCTTCACATACTTGGTTTAAGTATGTTTTAACTGTCCTATGGTTTTCAGCAGCCACTGAGATGTTATTCAGTGCATTTAAAGCCTTCTGCCTAATGTTGGGATAAGGATTATTGAGTAAGCTTTCGATAACCGAGACTCCACCTACATTGCGAACAACTTCGTGGGGATAAGGAAAGTCAGCACTGTTATATAGAGCATTATTGGCTATTTCATGAACAGAAGGAGTTTCAGTCATCTCAATCATGCAAATGAGTTTTTCGAGATCTCGTGGATCCATATTAGCGTCGTGTTTACAGCGGCGGGACAAGGGTCGAATTTTCTCCCCAGACTTCATTTGCTTTTTGACCTCATCCTCAGCTAGGAAACTGGCCTCATTTGGATGTGGCAACTTTGTTTCCGACCAGATCATGGCCCCATCCCATGACCCCATTCCTGCCCCAGGGACCATGGATGGATATGTGCCTCTTGACTCAGCTGATTTTTTGGCTTTATCCTTAGATGCAGATTTGTCCTCACAGAACCAAGACCTTATATCAACTTCACCAGCAGCCTCAAACTTATCCTTGATGCTAGCCTTATCCCCAGTCCCAGACTCAAAATTGACATCTTTCCTACACTTGGATCTGAACTCATTGCTGTTCTCACTCTCAGCCCAAAACAAGGACCTTAAACTTATCTCCTCAATATCGGGGCTTGACTCTCTACTTAGCTCATCCTCATCTACATCCCTAGCCAAAGTCCAGGACCCTATGCCAGCCTCTTCCCCAGTCCCATGCCTAGACTTTGTAGTGGTTGCATTTCCATCCCAGGACCAAGACCCTAACCTGGCCTCAGCCCCGGCCTCAGCCCCAGCTTCAGCCCCAGCCTCAGCTACAGCCTCAGTTACAGCCTCAGCTCCAGTCTCAGCTCCAGCCTCAGCCCCCACACAGGAGCCCATATAAGCTGCCTCATCAGATCTGATCCAGGAACCAATACTGGCCTTGTTCTCAGTCTCAAACCTAGAACTAACGATAGACTCTTTCCCAGTCCCTGATCTGGATTCAGTACTGGCTTCATCCTTATCCTCAAGCCTGGGCACAATATCAGCCTTCTCCTCTGACCAGCACCAAGACCCTATAACAGCCTCAGCCCCAGGCCCAAACCAGAATTCTTCATTAGCCTCCATCTCAAAACTGACCTGGAACTGTCCACTGACCTGCTCCTCAGACCTAGCCCAAGACCCTCCAGTAGCCTGGTCCTCAGGTCCCAGTCTAGAACCTCCACTGGCCTCATTCTCAGGCCTAGATCCAGCCCAAGATTCCCTACTGACCTGATTCCCAGTTCCAGTCCAGGAACCTCTCCCACAGGCCTGATTCTCAAATTCAGGCTTGGAACAGTCATCAGCCTGATCCACAGCCCCAGCTCCAGCCCAGGAGCCTCCACTGACCTGACTCCCAGTGCCAGCCCAGGACCTACCACTGGACTGGCCTGAAGGTCCTGGCCTAGACCCTCCAACCACCTGACCACCAGCCAAACACCAGGGACCTCCACCACTAGACTGATCCTCAAGCTCTGGCCTGGAGCCTCCACTGGCCTGGTCCCCAGCACCAGCCCAGAACCCTCCTCCAATGGTCTGATCCTCAAATACAGGTCTGGAACAGCCACCAGCCTGATCCACAGTCCCAGCCCAGGAGCCTCCACTGACCTGACTCCCAGTGCCAGTCCAAGACCCACCACTGGACTGGCTTGTGGGCCCTGGCCTAGACACTCCAATGTCTTGGCCAACAGCCCCACCCCAAGATTCTCCTCCATTGGTCTGACTCCCAGGGCAAACACAGTACCAACCACTGGCCTGATTCCCAGTGCCAACCCAGGAATCTCCACTGGACTGGTCCCTGGGCCCCAGCATAGAGCCTCCACCAGCCTGGTCCCCAGCAACAGCCCAGGACCCTTTGACACTGGCCTGATCCTCATATATAGGCTTTGTCCCACCACTTACCAGATCCCCAGCCCCAACCCAGGACCCTCCATTAGCCTGATCCACAACTCCAAGCAAGAACCCTCCACTGATCTGGTCCCCAGAACTAGTCCAGGACCTTCCACTGGATGAATCCTCAGGTCCCAACTTGGACCCTCCACCAACTTGGCCACCAGCCACAGCCCAAGACCCTTCTTCACTGGTCTGATTCTCAAGTCTAGATTTGAACTTACCAACTGACTGGTCACCTGTCACAGCCCAGGACCCTGCCCTCTTTGAGTCCTCAGTGTCAGCCCAGGACCCACCACTGGACTGATCTATATGACCAAGCCTGGACCCTCCACTGGCTTGGTCTGTAGTATCAGCCCAAGACCTTCCACTGGACTGGTCCTCAGACCCCAACTTGGACCCTTCACTGGCCTGACCACCAGTCCTAGCCCAGGACCCCTTTTCACCAGACTGATCCTCAAATCCAGGCTTGGATCCACCACCAGAATGATCCCCAGTTACAGCCCAGGACCCTCCACTTGTCTGGTCCACGGTCCCAGCCCAGTACCCAACACTACCTATATTCCCAGCCCCAGCCCAAGATCCCCCACTTGCCTGGCTCTCAACCCCAGTCCAGGACCCTCCAATGGCCTCTTCCCCAGCCCAGGATACCCCACTGGCCTGTCCCCCAGGCCAAGACCCTTCACTTGCCTGACCTCCAGCCCAGAGCTCTCCAATGGCCTGATTCCCAGAAACAACCCAAGAACCCCCAGTGGCCTGGTTCTCAGCCCCAGTCCAAGACCCTCCAATGGCCTTGCCCTCATTGTCTGCCCAGGATCCCCCACTGGCCTTGTCCCCAGCCCAGGATTCTTCACTAACCTGACCCCCAACCCAGAGCCCTCCACTGGCCTGGTCCCCAACTCCAGTCCAAGACCCAATATCAACCTCATTCTCAGCTCTTGCCCCAGTCCAGGACTTCATGCTAGCCTCACCACAAGCCACAGCCCAGGATGTAATACCAGCCTTATCACTAGCCCCACTCCAGGACTCAATACTGGCTTCATTCTCATCATCAGCCCAGGACATGCTATTCTCCCAGTCTTCATCCATGGCCTGAAACCTAAATTTGATCCACCGCTCAGCAGCAATCCAATCCTCAACACCAATGCCATTCCAGTAGTAGTCATGGATGTAAGGCTGAGTATTTCTGCAAGCCTGAGTACCTGACCCACTCTCACTCTCAGAAGTGGGCATGGCCTCAGCCTCAGGCTTTGCATGGACCCCATCCACTGTGGCTTCTGTCTCAGAACTGAACATAACCTTGTCCCTTGCCCCAGGCAAAGTCTCACCCTGGGACCTGGCCACAATCTGGGGCTGGGCAGAGTCCCCTGTACCTGCCGTAGCCCCTGCTTTAGGCACAACATTAGGATTGCCCCTGACCTTATTCCTGGCACCAAGCAAGGTCTCATTCTGGGAATCAGTCACAGTCTGTGGCCAGGCAAAGCTCATTGTATCTGCCCCAGCCTCTACTTTAGGTACAGCATTAGGATTGCCCTTGACCTTATTTTTGGTACCAGGCAAGGCTCCACCCTGAGAATTGGTCACAGCCTGAGGCTGGGCAGAGCCTACTGTACCTGTCCCAGTCTCTGTCTTAGACATAGCACTGGAATTGCCCTTTACCTTATTCCTGGTGCCAGGCAAGGCTTCATTCTGGGACTTGGCCACAACATGAGGCTGAGCAGAGGCCATTGTATCTTCTCCAGTTCCTGTCTTCGGCATGACATTGGAATTGCCCTTGACCTTATTCTTGACAACAGGCAAGGCCTCACTCTGGGAATTGGCCATTGCCTGAGATTGGGTAGAGCCTGTTATACCCATCTCAGGCTCTGCTTTAGACACAGCATTGAGATTGCCCTTGACCTTATTTTTGGCACCAGACAAGATCTCCCCCTGGAAATTGAATACTGCCTGAGACTGGGAAGAACCTGTTGTATCTGCCCCAGTCCCTGCTTTAGACACAGACTTGCGATTGCCCCTGACTTTATTCTTGACACCAGGCAATGCCTCACCCTGGGAATTTGTCACAGCATGGGGCTGGGCAGAGTCCATTGCACCTATTCCAGTCTCTGCTTTAGACACAGCATGGTGATTGCCCTTGAGCTTATGCTTGGTACCAGGCAAGATCTCACCCTGAAAACTAGCTACAGCCTGGGCTGGGGCAGAGCACATTGTATCTGTTCCAGCTCCTGCCTGAGACATAGCACTAGGATTGCCCCTGACCTTATTCTTGGCACCAGGCAAGGCCTCATCCTGGGAATTAGCCACAGCCTGGGGCTGAGCAGAGTCTGTTGTATTTGGACCAGGCCCTACATTAGGAACAGCATTGGAACTGCCCCTGACCTTATTCTTGGCACCAGGCAAGACCTCACCTTGGGAATTTGCCACAACGTGGGACTGGGCAGAGCCCGTTATATCTTTCCCAGCCCCCGCCTTAGACACAACATTGGAATTGTTCTTGACCTTATTCTTAATATCAGGTAAGGCTTCAGCCTGGGAATTGGCCACAACCTGGAGCTGGGCAGAGCCCGTTGTACCTGCCCCAACTCCTGCCTTAGACACTGCATTGGGATTGCTTCTGACCTTATTTTTGGTACCAAGCAAGGCTTCACCCTGGGAATTGGCCACTGCCTGGGGCTGGGCAGAGTCCATTGTGCCTTCCCCAGATCCTGCCTTAGGCACATTGGGATTGCCCTTAACTCTATTCTTGGCAATAGGCAAGGCCTCATCCTGGGGATTGGCCACAACTTGAGGCTGACCACAGGTCCTCTGGTCTGCCTTAGCCACTGCTCTAGAAATAGCATTAGGATCACCCCTACCATCAACCATGGAATCAGGCAAGGCCTCAGCTTGGGCTTTGGCCCCAGCCTGAGGCTGTGCACAGGACTTCACATCTGTTCCAAGCCCCGCCTTACACTTGGATTTAGTTTTGCCCCTAGTCTTACCTCTAGTATTAGGTAAGGCTTCTCCCTGGCTCTGAACCATAGCCTGAGCCTGTGTCTTTGTGTCTGTCCCAGCTCCTTCCTTAGACATGGTGTTGGTATTGCCCTTAGCCTTAATTCTACCATCAGGCATGGTATCAGCCTGGACATTGGCTACAGGTTGAGACTGTGTACATGACAACATGTCTGTCCCAACCCCAGCCTTAGCCATGACATTAGGATTGCCTCTGCTCTTATCCCTGGCATTAGGCAAGGCCTCCACCTGGGAACTGGCCCTCAAGTTTGCCCTGGCCCCTGCTTTAGCCAAGGCATTGGAATTGCCTCTACCCTTAACCCTAACATCAGGCGTAGCCTCAGCCTGAGTACTGGCCACAGCTTGAGGCTGAGCAGCAGCCCTCATGTCAGCTCCAGTGATTGTCTTAGATCTGACATTGGTATTTCCCCTGTCATCAACTCTGGCACCAGACGTTGCTTCTGCCTGTTTCTTGACCACAGTCTGAGATTGTACACAAGCTCTCACATCTGCCCCTGCCCCCACCATACACATGGCGTTGGTATTACCCCCAGCATCAATCCTTGCCCCAGGCATGGTCTCATCCTGGGTCTTGGCAACGATTTGAAGCCGAACAGAAGCCATCGTGTCTATCCCAGACCCTGCTGTAGACATGGTTTTGGAATTTCCCTTGTCTTCAACCCCAGTACCAGGCACGTCATCACCCTGGACCTTGGTCACAGCCTGAGACTGTGTACTGGACTTCACGTTCACTCCAGTCACCTCCCTGGACAGGCCATTGAGATTTTCCCTAGCATCAACTGTGGCACCAGGCCTGGCCTCTGACTGAATCTTAGCCACACTCACAGTCTCTTCCAGAGCCCTTGTCTTGGTCTCAGTCACAATTCCAGTCTTGTTCATGGCCCCCATCTTGTCCACTTCCCTGGTCACTGCCAAGATCTCACTGTGTGTTGCCATTACTCTGTTAATCTCTGGGGTTTTTTCAGCCAATATATGAGCTTCAGCTTTGGTCTGGGTCATTGCTTCTTTCTTGGCCTCTGCCCTGGCAGCCTGTGCCCAAGCTTTAGCCTTGGTCTGAGTCACTGCCTCTTTCTTGACTACTCTCCCAGCCTTAGCATCAGTTTGGGTCACTGCTTCTTTCACGGCCACTTCCTTGGCTTTAGCCTTGGCCTCAGTCAGAGTCACTGCCTCTGTCATGATCAGTGTTCCAGCCATCACTTTGGCCTCAGACTGGATCTCTGCCTCTGTCCCACCCATTGCCTTGGCCTGAGAGTTGGCTTTGAGTATGGCTATAGCAGTGTCCTTGGTCTCTACTTCAGCCCCAGGCCCATCTCCTGCTCCAGTTTCTGCTCCATTCTTGGCCTTGGGTCTAATCTCAATCTCTTCCCCCGCCATGGCTTCACTCGTGGCCAATGTCTGGTTCTGTACCCCAACCACAGTCTCCATCTTGACTCTGGACCCATTTCTGGCAAGTCTCCTCACACTCTGGGCTCTTCCCTTGGTTAATTTGTAAATGAAGTAGCAGGTTCCAGCCCAGATCACCAGTCCTGCAGTCACCCAGCCCACTTCCTGAACACGGCCCATGTAATACCCCAGTTGAAGGCACGAACAAGGTACAGTAGGGCTCACTCGAGCTAGGGAAAGACAGTGGTAGATCTGGGTGTAGGCTTGATAGGGCACTGGTCTTCAGCCACTCAAAGGCCACTACAGCTGCCACTGGAGGTGAACCTAGAAGTAGAGGAAGAAAATGGACTAAAATTTCTCTTCAGATTCTGTTGTATCATATGGATAGATACACAGAGGGACAAAAAAAGGTAGATAATGTGCTTGGTAGGAGAGAGGATGATCAACAAACTCTCTATACTTCTTATTTCATCCTTTCCCCACCTTCCTCAATGCCCAACAATTATCCCCCAAGGTAGTTCCATACACATTTTCATACACCAAATGAACAGTGGGAAGAATGGCAGAAGGGCTGATGACAAATGGGAGTGATCAAGAAACCCCAGACTTTGATTTTTACCAGACCTATACTGGTCACCACTCCACAGGGCCCCATCCTCATACCAACCTGTAATGATCTGAAGCAGTTTCCTCCTCCTCTCTTTTCTTGCTTGGTGATACAACCTAAAGTGGACATATAAACTCATGAGATCTTTGGATCTAGAGACAGACCGACAGATGGAGGGACAGATGGGAGTGGAGAGTTTGTTCTTGGTAGAATAGGCCTATCATTAGCAAACCACCTCTCTACCTCACTCAGCTTGCCACAATCCCCCGGGTGCTGTCATACTCTTTTCTCCATACCAGAATTAAGGTTAGAATGTGGGGTAACAGAAAAGGTGGTTGGACACTGACCCTAACTGGATGCACACTGATCTCTACCATCCTACCTAGAGATCTATCCAGGCAGTCCCCACCCTCTTACCAGTCTATACTGATCAGGGAAAATTTCCTCCTTGTTTCTTTGGTTCCAGTGATCTCAAGTCCTGCAGCAGACATGCAAGCAGATCTATGGATAAGTAAACAAACAGGTGATAATGGAGACCAAGTCCTTGGAGAGACAAGCATCCTGATTCCTGACCCCAGTGCCTGTCTTTCAAGGGCCCAGGTTCAGTTTACTAATGTATCCCATCTCATAATCCCCTCATCAAGTCTTCTCCCAGTCACACACCAGCCCACCATTACCGTGGTATTCCTACAATTTCTTACACTGACATTCATGGGGTGTATGGCAGCACTGTGAAAATCTGGCAGAGTGTAGGTGAGGCAGAAGTGCTCTCCACTGAGACTCTCTTAAATCTCAGCCAACTGTTATGCCCACCCTCTCTTGTCATCCCTAGGCAATGTTTGCCTTCACACAAACCTCAGTGGTTGCCAGGCCAGTCCTCTTTCTCTTGCTTCCAGTGGTAAACAGCCCTACTGCAGATTTATGGGAAGACCTAAGAACAAATAGCGAAAAAGAAGAGAGAGAATATTGAGTATTTGTAATATTCTAGCATCTAAGATATGAGTTCCTGTACCTGCCTTTCTGGATTTAGAGATCCATTTCCTGACAGACAGAACCTGAAAACAGGACAGGTAGAAAAGGGAGGCAAGGAAAGTAAAAGGCAAAAGACAGAGGCATGTTATTGTAAAGCCACCTGTAGGGATTTCCCCAGAAGTCCACCATTTCCTTCACCAAGATGGTCAGGTAGGTGGGGGATCCAGAAAACCAGAAGGTGGCGAAAGAGATGAGAGTCCCCAGATCCCATACTCTAGAATCACATCGTACTGCCATCTGCTTGCCTTAAACCCGTCTTTAGGAGTCTTTAGCAGAAAAGACAAAGGGTAGGGGAAGACTTTTGCTTCTGTAAAATGACTATCCCTCTCTATCAAAGGCTATTTCAAAAAAAAATAATAATATTCTTTGATATGACAATTTCTATTTTCTCAATATAAAAACATCAGTTGAAAGATATGCTGTCTTTATTGATTTTCAAAATACAATTTAAGGTAAAAGTCCTAAGCTTGGTAAGACAGCAGCTTAGGGAATGTCCCCTAACTAGCCCCACCCCACATCCCAATCAGTGGTGCCTAAGCTCTTGTTCTAGAATTTATATAGAATTCCAACGTTTCACAGACAGTGTGGGTGCTCACACTAACCTCCATAGATCCAGTGCAGTTTTCTCCTCTCCATCTTCCTTTCTCCTCGCCACAAACAGTGCCACACCAAACTATTGTCCGACAGACAGGAAAGAGTAAAGGCACCGAGTGAGTGTTGAACCGGTACCCAGTCCACAGATCCCAGTACTTGCTTTTCCGGCTTCAGGAACCAGGTTGTCAAACGTCCCTCCCCACAATCCGAGACGCCCCTACCAATCCCGCTGTCCAGTCACTAAGGCCCACCATTTTCTCTGCAAACGCCACCGTGGCACATCCCTTACACTGAGACTAGCAGGAAGCGAGCAGACATGAGTGGTCAGTGATTGGAGTTGGAGAGGATGAGCATCTCCACCTCTGTATTTCCCTCTGGAGACATTTTCCCCACCAGCTGCCCTGTCAAAGCCCACGGTTTTCCTGCGCAGATGTGGGCGGGGGGGGGGGGGGTCCAGAGAATCAGAGGCGAAGGCTCCTAGAACTTGAGCCAACATACCCCTCCCTGACCCTGGTAGTCTCTGCCGGGGACAGCGAGCCGCTGCCGCCCTGGGCAGGGCGCGCGGGCCCCGGGGCCCTCACCTGCTCCGCTGTCCCCGGGCCCGATGCCAGCCCGCCGAGCGCTGGGCAGAGGGGAGCTGGTAGCCAGACGGGAGTGACGACTGCACCTAAGGCTGCGTCTCTCTGCAGCTCCGGGTCACGTGGGGGACGCGCGTCACCGCCAAGCTCTCCCTCCTCTCTACCACCCCCCACGGGCTGGCGGCCAGTCAACAGGACCCCTCTCCGCAAGCACAGACGCCCCCCTCTTCGCGTCTGCGCACGGTGCCCTGGCGAGTACTGCCCTGTCACTCATATTGGTCCTCTCCAATCTGAGGGCCCACAAGTGGCATCACTGCTTTGTGGTTGGAGTTTACCCATCTCTGGTTACTGGGGACGTTCTGTACACCCCTTTACCCCACCCCCACCTTTGGCCTTGCCCTTTTATGCTTCTTTGAGGAATCCTTTCTTTCACTCTTAGGTTATACGCCCAATACTCCCCACAACGCCCCTTTAAAATTTGTCCTAAGTACAACGTTTGCGCCAAATATGTTGTGGAAGGGGGTGTTGGGAAAGAAAGTATAGGGTGCAAGTAGAGCCTTAAATTTCTTTGATATGTTTCTCTTTTTTTCTTCTAACCGCACATTTTTTTGTAATCGATAAATGCGGTATTGCTATTTTCCTTTGACACACACACAAAAATTTAGGTTGTAAAAATAACAAGAGACTCATTCATTTGTTTATATTATTTTGTGCCACATTAAAAAATGTTTTCTAGCTCATGTAAACTATTTCACAGCTTTCAAAGCAGCCTAGTAATTATTGATATTTTAAATACAAAATCTTCTTAAACAAAACCATGATGTTTTCAACGTGATCTATAAATTAATCTTTGGAAAGACATTCAGTTTTCTAATCTTGGCAATTTTACACAAGTGATTTATAACCTTTTGAAGTTCTGGCTGAACTTACATCTTTTGTCAGGTGTCTGAGACCTTCTTCAGAAATAAATCCTGGAGAACTTAATGAAAACCTAACTTCCTGATTAACTCAGTGCCTTACAATCCAGTGGCTTCCCAGATTAACCTGTTTCCCATTCAAGGGGCTTTATTTGGATTTTACATAAGCATATATAATCAAGTAAGTCTCACCACACCCATGAAAGGACCAACTGCTATCACATGGCTGGAAAGGAGGCTTCACAGGTGAAATTTTCATTCCATCATGGCACTGGGGAGACCTCTCTGGTGGCTGCTATTCATGTACTGTATGTCACCCTAGCAATGGCAAGTGTTCAGCACTTTCCAGTGTAGCTGGTTGGTGGTGAGAGTCTGTGGGTGACTGTGAATCATAGCAACACCCCTAATGTCCACATATTTTTTCCCCTCACAAAAGGAAAGACAATATACAGGAACCCAAGCAATTGCCAGGGAAAAGAGGCCTTTTCATTTCCTGCCTTTGTTACTTCACTGCACCACCCGTAAAAACCCCTCAGAATAATCCCAGAACTCAGGGACTAAGTATACAGAAGTTTGTCCCCACAAATCCACCTGTCCCAGCTAAGTAGTCATACTCTAAATATAGACCCCCATGCCTCGGCAGCCCCTTTCTTAGAACATTGAAATATGACACCTGAGCAGGTGTAAGGGGCTCCTTTGTGGAAGGAGGCCCTTTCAGGAAGCAGCCAGAAACACTGTAGTGCCATATACACTTCTAATGGCTTTTCAGAACTCAATTGCCCATGAGGAACTTACTTTCTCCACCAAAGGAAAAGATTGATAATTAATTACATAAAGGTCTAAAACTTTGAGAAAGTTTAAAAAATGCATTGGATGACAAAGGGCTAATTTGTAATAACCAAAAAACGCTTTAAAATTATAAAGCGATAAACAATCAATTAGAAAAATATGCCAAAAGACATGAACAGATTTGTTCACAGTAAAGAAACACAAATGACTGATAAACATATGAAAGAATGTTCAACTTCAAAGAAATGCAAATTGAAACAACTATGCCTTACCGGTTTGTCAAAATTTAGAAATTTGATAGTATTGTTGACTGGTTTGTCAGGAAATGAGCATTCCCATACTCTGTTAGAGGATGATATTGATGCGACCTTTTTTTTTTTTTTAATTTTAATTTTTTTATTTTAAAGATGTGGGGTACAATTCAGGGTTAGGTATACAAATGTTCACTATGCAGGTATCCTTGTTGATGAGGTGTGCCCCCTTCCCCAGGCAGATTCCCACTACTGCCAATGCCGTCTTCCTACCCCCTCATCCCCTGCAGTTTTCTACTACTGCCAATCCCCTTCTTATAGCATTACGATAGTTGTTCAAGGTCCGCTTATGAGTGAGAATGTGTGATACCCACTTCTTTGTTTCTGTGAAAGACCACTCAGTATTATAGACTCTAAGTCCATCAAGATTGTGATGTAGTTCATGATTTTGTTCTACTTTATGGCTGCGTAATATTCCATCATGTATATGTACCACATTTTTTTAACCAGTTGACAGGCAGCACAGTTGGTTCCGTGTTCTTGCTATTGTGAAGAACGCTGCAATAAACCTATGTGTGCAGGTATCTTTTTTTATAGGGTGATTTGAGTTCTTCCAGATACGTTCCCAGTAGGGGGATTGCGGGGTCATATGGAAGGTCAATTTTTAGATCTTTTAGGAATCGCCACACTGTTTTCCATAGAGGTTGTACTAGTTTACACTCCCATCAACAGTGAAGAAGTGTTCCCTTTTCATCCCATCCTCTCCAGCATCTGTTACTTTTAAGTATTGATGATGGTCTTCCTGACTGGAGTTAGGTGATATCTCGGTATAGTCTTAATTTGCATTTCTGATGCAACCTTTTTATAGAGAGTAATTTGGCAAAATCTATTAAATGATAAGTATAATAGTTCACAAATTTGTTGACCCAATAATTCTATTCCTTGGAATTTACCCAAACTATATACCTACACAGTTTCACAAACAAAAATATACTAGGATTTTTTTTGCAGTGATTGTAAAAATGTTAAAAACCTGAAGTAACAGAAAATAGCTATCAATAGAGGAAAGATTAAATAAATTATATTAGAATTATACAATGTGGCTGAAAAGAAGAAGATTTAGGTTTATGTATCCTGGTGGAAAGATAAGTAGAGTGTTATATTATTTGCTGTTTATTTTCTGTAGTTACACACAAATTCCACAAGAATATATTCCAGTATAAAATTCAAACCCAGAAAACACAATAATATTGCTTTAATACCACTATTTTCATTCAAGTCACAGTTACCGCCCCATTGTTATAAGTATGGTGTGTTAAATCCTTTTCTATACATTATATACACATACATGTCTTATTAAAATATATAAAGGAATAATAATTAACATACCACTTTAGGGGAGGTATGGGGACACAAAACATCAATAAGGGTAACTGATCCCAAACCAGACGAAGTGGGAACCAAAAGGAGGCCCAAACTTCCCTTGTTTGATGACCAGTTATGTACCTAATCCTGAATTGTACCCTACATCTTTAAAATAAAACCTTTTTAAATGTAACATACTGTTTTATAACTTGTTTTTTTCACTTAAAGTTATGTCTCAGATAGCTCCACATATCAGTACATTTAAAGCTGCTTCAGTCTTTTTAACTGCTGCATATTATTCCATAGTTTAGTTATGCTATTGTTAGTTTGAACCTCTTTCTTGATCTGGAGTTAATAAAAACAAGGTTGCAATGAACAACTGGTACATACAGCTTTGCTCACAGGTGGAAGAATTTCTTTAGGATCTCCTACTATAAATAGAATTGGGTGGTTAACAGTATGAGACTGTATATATTTAATAATGTCAAAAGCAGGATATGAGATTTTTACATAGTTAATGAGCATACCACCAAACTGCCCTCCAAAAAGATTGGGCCAGTTTACACCTTCATCATGCATATGACAGGACCTATTTCCCCACACTCAGGTATAAAGCTGCTTCTCGACTTACAATGGGGTCATGTCTCGATAAACCTACTATAAATTGAAAATACCATATATCAGCTGAGCGCAGTGGCTCACACCTATAATCCCAGCACTTGGGCAGGCCAAGGCAAGAGGATTGCCTGAACCCAGGAGTTCAAGACCAGCCTGGACAATATGGCAAGACCTCATCTCAACAATAAATCAAAAAAATTAGCCAGGTGTTGTGGCGCTCACCTGTGGTTCCAGCTACTTGGAAGGCTGAGGTAGAAAGATCACCTGAGCACAGCAGATAAAGGCTGCAGTAGCCATGATCGTGCCACTGCACTCCAGCCTGGGCGACAGAGTGAAATTCTGACTCAAAAAAAAAAAAAGAAAATATTGTATACTGAAAATGTGTTTAATACACCTAACCTACCAAATGTTATAGCCTAGCATACCTTAAATACGTTCAAAACAGTTGGGCAAAGTCATCTAGCACAAAGTATATTTTATAATGAAGTGTTGAATATCCCATGCAATTTATTAAATACCATACTAAAAGTGAAAAGCAGAATGATCATATGGGTATTCACTTTCACACTATCATAAAGTCAAAATATCACAGGTTGAACCATCATAAGCTGGGGACTATCTGTATTAGTAATTAGTGCCAATATAACAGGCAAAAAAAGTAGCAGACTGTCTTTTTAATTCACATTTTCCTAAATATCTATTATTTTGAGTAAAATTTCATAGTCATGTTGGCCATTGGCATTTCTTCTCTGAGTATTAGTTGTTCATATCCTTTGAGTATTTTTCTATTCAGCTGTATTTTTCTCCCTGATTTGTAATTCCTTATACATTTCTGTATATTAGTTATTTTTCCATCATATAGGTTGCACATATACTCTCTCAATCTGGCACTAACATCTAACTCTGATGGTATTTTTATATTCAGGATTTTTACATTTTGATGTAGTCAAATACATTAACTTTTTTCAGGCCAGGCCCCAGCACTTTGGGAGGGCAAGGCAGAAAGAGTGCTTGAGCCCAGGAGTTCAAGACCAACCTGGACAACATAGCAAGACATTGTTTCTACAAAAATTTTAAAAATTAACTAGGCGTGGTGGTGTGCACCTGTAGTCCCAGCTACTCAGGAGGCTGAGGAAGAAGAATCACCTGAAACCAGGAGGTTGAG